CAAAGTTATACACACACATACATATACATATATCTCTCTCTCTCTATATCTATCTATCTATCTAGATATCTATGAGGTTATAGGCACAGGAGCATCTAGGCACAGAAAATACACTGCAATTTCTCAGGAAGAATTTAAGATAACATTTTCAAGGTACAGCTTAGGCAAAAATCAACATTTCTATCAGGGTTTTTCGCAAAATGGTGAAGAGTATGGAGAAGGCAGGAGAAGTGAACAATCTAGGACAACATAGCTGAACTGCAAAATAAGCCGAATTGGAGAATTTATCCAAATCAGCTATTTTGTCCTAGATTGTTCACTTCTCCTGCCTTCTCCAAACTCTTCACCCTTTTGTGAATAACCCTGTAAATCTTTCTTCTATGATAGCAAATCTTAACTTTTTTTTTTTTAAAGTTGGGGATAAATAAATGATGTTAGCTGCCATTTTATACTTGGAAATTTACTTGACAGGGATGAACTACTTTGATACAGTAAAGCTTACTCTCAAATGCTTCACGATGAGCACAGCAGCCACTGACAGCCTATTCAGAGTTTGTAATGCTGCTTGTAATCATGGCCATTTATCAGCAAGATATAACATTATTGTGGGAAGATGCAGCGAGGAATTAGTACAGAGTTGCCAGTAGATAAAGAACATACAAAATAAATAAGAAAGTAATGCGATAGCTAGTGTCCAACAAAACCAAATGACTTAATCATATAAAGCCCACCTTATTGTAGTAACCATATGTGATCGCATTGGGCTGTATTCCAGCATTCTTCATTTCAAATAAGACTTTTACTGCCAAAGCAGGGTTCTCCCAAATGCCACACAACTGCATTACCACTCGGTAGCAAACCTACAAAGAAAGAATAAACACCCCGATAAGAAAAGAAAACTAACATTTTGTCTTCAGTAGTAGGAAATCTTCATATAGGTGCAGAAGCCCTTATGGTTAATATAAGTATCTAATAAATGTGGACCTGCTGATTACCATGCATGTAGTCAAATGTGTTATTCAACATCACCATGAAAATGTTATATTTTCTACAAGGACCCAATTATGATGAGAAATGTATTCGCAAACCAAAAAAGAATAATGGTTTCCAGCTTAAAAGTACTCGCCTCATCCGGTGGATCTACTTCAGTCTTTCTCATTTTCACCAATGCTTCATAAGACTTCTGAAGTGCTCTGGATTTGGACTGGGACACCTTTACGTAAACTGGCAGGCAGATGAACCACAGGCTGAAGCAGTGGCTAAACAAGCACTTGGGCCAGTTACTGGGATTGGTGTAATATTTCTTGGCTAACTTGTGAGCAGTTTTAACTTCCTGCAATGAAAACAAAGTTTAATCCTGTAATATATGTTATGTTTACCAGACATATCAACAGAGAGAGACACAGGTTATCTAATGTTGTTTATAATGATGGCAGGAGTTAGAGAGTGGCCAAAATTCAAGGATCAAATAAAATTACAGGGGACAGATTCTTTAGGTTGTAATGCAATATCCCATGTTAATATTGTATGATTCCTTTCAAAGGGAAAAGGCTTGGGTTATATTATAGCACATTTTTGCAATGGATTTTAACTCCGGAGTCTCAAAAAAAAAAGAAGAAAGAATTAGATCTTAGGTGTTAAAAGAAAATGGTAAAATATACTTTTTAGTACTTCAAGATGGTGTGGAACACTGCAGCTATCACACACTGGGGTCTATATACTGAGGGCTGAACGATCATGTAACCGATGATCGGTAAGCTTACAGTCTCCTCCCTGCAGAGAGCACTGACCACCCCCTGCAGGAATCCCCCCCTCTATGTCTCCAGCGCTCATTGGAGGGACAGACAGGAGAGGGGGAGGCACAGCTGGCTCTGGTTCTAGAGTGGCAGAGCCGGCTGTCAGTCAGACAGCGGGGTGGATCCAAACAATATTGTGAGGATCCTTCCCAGTTGCAGCGCGGCTTTGCACTGTCAGCATATAGCGGACAGAAGCCCTTAATATGCTGACTTTGGGTCGTAGGAATACATTAGCAAATGTACTACTGTGACCCAAAAGAGAAGTAAAGCTTTATTTCTCTTTTAAGACTGCTTTAGCTTTTAAACCTGTTGGAGCAGAACATTAATTCCTGTACAGTTCAACAGTGCACCTATCATATCACAGGAGCACTGATTAACTTTCTTCAGTGTTAAAAAACCCATATTATTAATGATTAACTTTAGTACTCGACCAAGGTCCCAATCCACAGCTTAGTAACATATAAGGAGGAGAAACACCCCCCCAACTCCCCCCAGAATTAATCGGAGGGTTCCAAGACTGAGGAGGCAACATCTGGGCACACGCATCAATCTAAAACTAGATCATTATTCCACATGATTGTGCTCAACACATGCACATAGGGCTGCAACAACTAATCGACATAATCAATTATTGAAAAAGTTGTCAACTTTTTCAATCATCGATTAATCGGCTTCCGATTAGTTGGCCCTGTTCACGGCTCCACACACACTGCGTGCCACACCTCCTCTCCACCTCATGCTCGCCGCTGCCAGACCCTCAGCGATCGGCACAGGGACGCGGAGAGAAGAACTGTCTATCGGCGGGCCTGCCCGATCTCAGAAGCAAGTTGCTGGAAGACTGCTCAGGTAAGCCTGTTGAGAAATGTATTCGCAAACCAAAAAAGAATAATGGTTTCCAGCTTAAAAGTACTCGCCTCATCCGGTGGATCTACTTCAGTCTTTCTCATTTTCACCAATGCTTCATAAGACTTCTGAAGTGCTCTGGATTTGGACTGGGACACCTTTACGTAAACTGGCAGGCAGATGAACCACAGGCTGAAGCAGTGGCTAAACAAGCACTTGGGCCAGTTACTGGGATTGGTGTAATATTTCTTGGCTAACTTGTGAGCAGTTTTAACTTCCTGCAATGAAAACAAAGTTTAATCCTGTAATATATGTTATGTTTACCAGACATATCAACAGAGAGAGACACAGGTTATCTAATGTTGTTTATAATGATGGCAGGAGTTAGAGAGTGGCCAAAATTCAAGGATCAAATAAAATTACAGGGGACAGATTCTTTAGGTTGTAATGCAATATCCCATGTTAATATTGTATGATTCCTTTCAAAGGGAAAAGGCTTGGGTTATATTATAGCACATTTTTGCAATGGATTTTAACTCCGGAGTCTCAAAAAAAAAAGAAGAAAGAATTAGATCTTAGGTGTTAAAAGAAAATGGTAAAATATACTTTTTAGTACTTCAAGATGGTGTGGAACACTGCAGCTATCACACACTGGGGTCTATATACTGAGGGCTGAACGATCATGTAACCGATGATCGGTAAGCTTACAGTCTCCTCCCTGCAGAGAGCACTGACCACCCCCTGCAGGAATCCCCCCCTCTATGTCTCCAGCGCTCATTGGAGGGACAGACAGGAGAGGGGGAGGCACAGCTGGCTCTGGTTCTAGAGTGGCAGAGCCGGCTGTCAGTCAGACAGCGGGGTGGATCCAAACAATATTGTGAGGATCCTTCCCAGTTGCAGCGCGGCTTTGCACTGTCAGCATATAGCGGACAGAAGCCCTTAATATGCTGACTTTGGGTCGTAGGAATACATTAGCAAATGTACTACTGTGACCCAAAAGAGAAGTAAAGCTTTATTTCTCTTTTAAGACTGCTTTAGCTTTTAAACCTGTTGGAGCAGAACATTAATTCCTGTACAGTTCAACAGTGCACCTATCATATCACAGGAGCACTGATTAACTTTCTTCAGTGTTAAAAAACCCATATTATTAATGATTAACTTTAGTACTCGACCAAGGTCCCAATCCACAGCTTAGTAACATATAAGGAGGAGAAACACCCCCCCAACTCCCCCCAGAATTAATCGGAGGGTTCCAAGACTGAGGAGGCAACATCTGGGCACACGCATCAATCTAAAACTAGATCATTATTCCACATGATTGTGCTCAACACATGCACATAGGGCTGCAACAACTAATCGACATAATCAATTATTGAAAAAGTTGTCAACTTTTTCAATCATCGATTAATCGGCTTCCGATTAGTTGGCCCTGTTCACGGCTCCACACACACTGCGTGCCACACCTCCTCTCCACCTCATGCTCGCCGCTGCCAGACCCTCAGCGATCGGCACAGGGACGCGGAGAGAAGAACTGTCTATCGGCGGC